AATAGTTGGAAAGGAGGTGTCTCTACTAATGTACTGTCAGACCTGAGGAAGTCACTGAGAACAACATTGACAGGCTTCCCTTTTCTTTTAAGCCATGGCAACAAAATTACTTGTCAATATGACATCTGCCTTCACATTCTTTGGCAGAGTTTAACTGCATATCAGAGACTATAACAACATGTGGCCCATCAGATGGCTTGCTGGATGCCTGAGCCTCTGTGACACCAACTAAGACTGCAGCCGATGTCATCTGTGTGTTAACAGTGAATGTATTCATTTGTTCAGTTCCCTCATTCAGACCTAACACATCTCTATCTGTTAGACCGATGTGCAGGAGAGTGTTGAAACAATAGACCGAGCAGTTACAAGGTCTTTAACTGCCAGATTTGTCCACTGTCGCAAAATAATCTTCATGATGGCATTGTTTGTTTTTGAATGAATGGCAGACCTACTTGGATGTAAACCACTGAATTTACTACAAAAATACGTATCCTTTAAATTATGTGTGCCAATGAACACTATTCATATGAATGGGTTTTGTTTAGCTGCTCTTATATATGAACTTTATTCCTCAATTTTGGTTAATGCTCTTCACTCATTCCAAGGAAAGTGTCAGGCAGACATGAACAGCAACAACCAAGTAAGTCCCCTGTTAGAGAAACAGGAACTCTTTCAAGTCACAAATTATCATTATAATGCCAGGATGGGCCTCAGCCTGGTTAAAGCATTCATCAGAGATGAATCATTACAGGTGGAGAGTCAGGGCAATGACACAGAAGATCATTGCAAACGATGCCTGAGCTATTTGCTGTGCGATTGATGGGGCAATAACTTCACTCAAAAATTTCTAATGTTGCAAGCTAGACATGAAGTAGGCTGTGCGTTGTGCTTTGAAGTGGAAGCCAATGAATCAGGCGTCCTCTGTGCTAAGGATTCATTGGGGCATTTTGCTTCATACTTGGGTGACTTCAGTACCATCCAAGCAACTGGTCTGGTCTGTAGCCTTTCACCACTTGATAGTATTCAGCCCTAATTTGTCATATTCACACCTGAAATGGCTCCGTATCAGCCCTCCTTCCCACCCCCTAACGAAACCTGTTCACCATCAAGCATGATGGCACACACAATACACACAGGAGGTTAAGATATAATAATCAGGTTTGAGGTAAACCTCAATATCAAGCTAAATATCAAGTACAAGGCCAACCTGTACAACTGAGACCCTGTCTCAGAACTGTCCCATCCCCCCAAAAAATTATCATAAGTCTTTGGCTGCGTGGAATCTAACCCTTCCTGGCTGATATGTCTCAACCTTCTCTTGCCTCCAAACTGATCAACTTGCCTTCCCCATGCCTCCACCTATACACTAGCTTCTATTAGGTTTTCCCTAATCCTAAACTTCACAGTCCTGCATCTTCTGTAGTCTTCCTGAACCAACCCCACCTTTGTCTAAAATAATTCATTCATTCCCAATGTTCTCAAACACATACCACATAGATATAAACGTTTTCCATCATGAAGCCCTTGCTTATTCATTTAGTACTCATTTCCTCCTTTGGCTGATGGCATCCTTGAATTTGATAACATTAACCCTGCCCTGTCCCACCTGCACCTATTCAGCATCATCTATGGCACATAACACAGTGCTAATAGAAGGCTCCATAGGGATTCAGCTGCTTTGCCAGAGTCCTTTATAATTGAAGGGAGTATGAGTTAGTTTCAAATATTGGATGGGGTAAGCAGGAGCCAGATCCTGATTGCCATGTTTACGTAGCAAAGTAACTCTTCCATCTGGACTTCTCAGCACATTAGCTTTTGTAACTGATGTATTCAGATTCCCTTAGAAGCTAGTTTTAAAACTATATTTTCAGTCTTCATCTCTAAACCAAATATTCTCTATAGTCTTTCCAGACTCGGTTTTAATTTCCTTCTTGAATTGAAATCCTCCTGCCATCAAATTAAATTCACAAGGCTTTAATTTGAAACACAATTTTCATCGGTAACTGGACAGCTATTAAGAGCCTGGAAAGTCTCAGATGTGTGTGCCTCCACTCCTATTATCACTTTACACTTCTTCTGTGAACTCAACATATTTGGAGGTATTCTGATTACATGTGTGAAAATGCTAAGAGAAATTTAAGTCAGAATGAGCATAGTAATTCAACAGATAATTTTTAAATATAGTGTGTGATCATCTCTACAATTGAACAAATTTGGGCAAATTAAAACCAGGGTATTTTGATATCTTAGAGTCTGTTACAAAGATCCAAACATGTACCAAAAAGTGTTCTGCATATGAATATGGTGATGCTCATGCCTCTAAAATGAAGACGAGAACAACTAAGAAATACAGAACTTCACCAAAGACTTCCTGACTTTACATGCATCCCCACCTCACAACCAAGCTCTATTAAACAGCTCCTTCCACAGGGCCTTTTCAGATTCTTCTGGCTCTGACACTACTGTTGTCTTATCCATATGTGATGCTCAGACCCAAATAAAAAGAGAGGGGAAGTGGAGAAGACACAGTGACAAGCGTTTTAGTTGCAACTCAGTTTGGAGAGTGAGGCTGTTCCTAGGGGAGAGGCTGGTGAGCCAATCACATTTGCCTTTTCATTTCTTCCTTCACCCAGAAAGTGCACTCATTACCACAGAGTCAGCACATACTCATGTCAATCATCTTGGGGCTAGATGCCTCTCTTTTCATCACTGTGTGTTCTATAGCTGTCATGTCCCGTGCCTTACTCTGAGGCATTCTCTCAGGCTACATACTCCCACAAGCTCCTAAATGCACTGACATTCTGCCAAAAATAGAATCCATAGCCCTCCACTTAAATGCATCCAACTTCTGCAGCCAATCAGATAGAGTAGGAAGCCAAAGACCTAAGACACTCCAGGTAACCAGAGTAGGAAGGTCTACTGCCAAGTTTTCACTCTGCATGTGCAGGCCATCTATATCCAATATAGACAAGGACAGGAGACTTATTCCATGTCTCTCTTACAATGCCTGTGGGCATCACAGGAACTGGCTTTTAGGCTAATGTAGGACCGCTCGTCAATAAAGTACTTATGCATTATCATCTATTGATGTGGACTCCTTCTGACCTTACTTACACTGATGGAACATGTTCACTGCTGTCACTGTGAGACACACTGCATGCTTGTTCAGGATACCTGCAGCCTGACAGCTCCTTAAGGGATGGGTGACCACTTCCACAATAATTGCCTGACCTTCATCAGCATCCACTGACAAATGCCACTGATACCTGATCATTGTACAGCTTCTCCGTTTTTGCTATCCCACAGGACTGCTGTGTTGGAAGCAATGACAGATGGGGGAGGGGGCTGTTCTATGCCATCTTCCCACGAGCTATAATCTGGTGGTTCTCCCATTGTCCTATTTGCATCTGGAATCCTGAACCCCAAAAACCTAAAGCCATTCACTGAAAAAAAAATCATTTACTGAAAAACTATGTTTTAGTACCTGTGTTAGTACTGTGTAGTGGAAATCACTACCATTTGTGAACAAGTCCACAGAGAGCTTATCATCCAGTAGAAAATTGCAGACAGAATATGAAGAAGCATTGCCCAAGAACTGGAGTCCTTTAACATTCAATATTCAGTGTCCTCCAAGTAGTGAGACTCAAGAGTCAGAAGAAAAAGCAGGCATTCAGGAACACCAGTTCCAGCTCTGTCACTACAACTCCTCTCTCAAAGATTACTTCATAGAGTTCTTCTTCACTCTTCTGTCTGATTTGTGAGGGAGAGACATGGCTAAACTCCAGTTTAGTTCAGAGAGGTTTTGTAAGAAGACAGAATGAAAAAGAATGTTACATGACAGTGAAGTCATGGACCACCATGGCTCAAAACTAGGGAACAATCATTGGTGACAATTTGTAGTGCAAGACTTAGTATATTAATCAGGAGAAATAGTCCCACACCCATTCCTCATGACACCCCTTGAGGTTTCATGTTTAGAAATAGCTTGTAGTTGGAGGCTTTGTAAATTAGACTTGTCCCTAGCAGTGTATTGTAAAGTCTCCGTTTCCACATTCTGTAGATGCCCTGGACATGGAGGCATCTTCTTTCACAGAAAGCAGATCAAACCACTTGCCCCATATCATCATCCTACACAACACTTTCACTGGTGACAGAAGCCAACAGAGGCAATGGCCCTCTCCTGTCCCCTGTGGCAGAGCCCTGAGCCCCTAACACTTAAGGCTCATCCACTACACATACACAGAGGGTAAAGCCCCTCACAACTAGGTCCTGGTTTAACACACTTCATTTAAGCTGCACATTTCATCTTTCTGATTTCAATCGTCAGTAGTCACATCACTTCTAAAGAATTTAACCATTTATTTACTAGCCTTTGAGAGGCTGAAGTCCCTTAACAAATGTGACTGTTTGGTGGCCTGGTGCTGTGAATGATATCCTAGCTTCCTGTCTCCAGAGTCTAGTCTCTCAATCACTTTACATGATAGGATACTTGTTTGAGGCTGGTAGTCCTACAGAGTATAGAGGTCAAGAAGCCAACCTTGATCTTGGCAGTGAGTAGGATGGCAGGACAGGGGCAGAGAAAAGAATGGAAGATGTAAAAGGCAGACTGTGGAAGGGGAATCCCCAGGATTCAGGACATCTAGAGCCCTGGTGTAAGAAAGATGTAGAGTCCCAAGTCCACTAAGGATTTAAGTACTTAAGAAATCTATTCCTCCTGTTTCTGAGAGAAAGCCTTAGCAGAAACTGCATGTTTACCTCTTTATAAACAGCTGGTTTTATTTTTAAGTAAGGTAATTTTCCCTTCCCTTGAGGAAGCAGTCCATGTGTAGCTTTCTCTTCTTTTAATGCTCATGCCCTAATATTTGATCTATGCTGGCCTGCTTGTAGATAGTGAATGAGCTTCTGATAACACTCTTCACGAGGGAACAACGCAGTCTTTGTCCTATGCAAGTGGATTCTGAATTCAACCAGCTCCTCACATTCAGGCCTATCTCTTACAGATTATTGGGACCATTCCACTGATGCCTAACCCAGGGCCATCGAGTCAAGCAACAAGTGGCACTCATGGTCTTCAAGTACAACCTATCACACCCCAGCTCCTAACCAATGCCCAGGGCCAAATCATTGCCACGGTCATCGGAAACCAGATCTTGCCTGTGATCAACACCCAGGGTATCACCCTGTCCCCCATCAAGCCAGGCCAGCAGGTAAGGGTTCCACGCCAAGGTGCCCAATATATTTCTTCTTTCCTCCTTTCTCTTCTTTGCTCTCAATATAAAGTAAATTTTGCATTACAAAAGATTTATTATTATTTTCACTAAACCTAATGTATCAATAGATGACACATAGATCTATTTCCCATTCTTAGCAAATATAAGCAATAACATGAATAACCCCCAAATCTAAAACTAGGAACACATTAAATTATAACAGACACTATGGCCAAAAGTCACTTACAATGTGTCCTTCTTAATCTATATCCAATATACTTAATTTTCTGGTTTTTAATAGAGCCAAAAAGAAACCAAGACTATTTATGCTTTAACTATAAATGAAAAATGTTGTTAAACAGAAAATAATCCCAAACTGAAGCTACAGCAACAACTGTCTATAAATGAAGAAGTGAACGATAGGCAATTCTACTCCTTAATTTCACTAAAACTCTGGTGGCAGCTTACATTGTCATTCAAATACCAACTGAGATTTTTCCTTTGTGTTTACACTAGAAGCTGAGCATGTAGCTCTAAAGAAGTAAGATATGGTCCTTGATCTTTATGGAGATTGTGATTGGTTTGTTCCTTCAATTAGCATTTTTAATAGTCTATTGCAACTCATCTAAATGCTAGCTAAGAAATAGAGATGTACTTTCTAACCCACGGATTTATGGTGTTATATGGGACACCAACTTATATATGCAGAGCCCTTTCTCCAATAAAGCAGAGAAAGCCCTGAAGCAGAGCAGGGAAAAGTAGGATGAGTGGCAGCTGACCAGGAAGATGAATTAGCAACATTCCAGGAAGTAGAAACAGTAAGTACAGGGGTAGGGCAAAGGAGAAGAAGACAACAGCATGTTGAGGGACCCAGGAGCAGTTCCTGTGGCAGAAGGATAGAGAGAGCTGGGGACAGCTGTGAGTTGGGTGTAGCCTCAAACTGGAAAGGCTATGTTCTATCTCTGTATGATCTTAAAGATGTCACATGCCAATTTCCTATTCAGGTTTTCTCATTTGCAAAAATAAAATAGGATGGGGATACCATTATCTACCTTATAGAACCTGTGTGAAGGGCAGAGTGGTTAGACCTGTGTCTGGAATACAGCAAGCTATAATTCAGTCACAATACCATTGCCACCTCAGCTGCTGATGGCAGTGAAGATGCCACCCTGGGAACCGTAGGAGGTGGGTGTTATACAAAAAGAGGTTATGTACTCAATTTTTCCCCCATAAGAAAATAAGTCTGAGAGTAACATGAAAGTTGAACTGAAATTATGACATTTCCATTGTAAACAAACTATTTAGGGGGCAATAGTGAAAGCCAAGCAAGGATTACGGAGCACACCTACTGAACAACAGCTGACAATAGGAGTCTAGAGACGTTTTTGCTATAGCTGAAAAATAAAGAAGACAAGTAGAGATAGCCTGAAGAACAGGAAAATGAGCAAGATCCAGGATCTGTCTGGTAAATGCCAGCTTTTAAAAAGAATAGGAGAAGAAGGGGAAAGAAGAGGCAATGGCTAAGTAGGGAAGGAACCTATAGTAAGGCTACCTAGCACAGGATTGATGATCAAACAGTAGGATCTAGACAGGCCTCAAATGCTGCAGAGAAAACATCAGGTAGTTTCAAAAAACATTTTGAAGTGTGGGTCAGTTCACTTTGAAACAAGTCACTTGTTAACCAGATGAGTCAGTAAATCAAAGCACAACAGGGCTAAGACCCAGTTTTAAGGTTTAGTGTACACTGGTAAAAGAAAGATGGCATAAAGAAATGTGAAGGCTAGGAGCCAATGTGTAGTTGGGGATGAAGCTGTTGTCGGGAGACTGTAGGGTATCAAGCAGTTGACAAAAGGGAAAATGCAAAGGGAGAACACTAAGGCACCAATATCATCATTTGCTACAGCAATACAGAAAAGTTCCTCCAGAGACAGCAACATCACCCGAGCCTTCCACTCAGCAGAACTCAGAGGCTATGCACAGAAATCTGTAGTTGATCTTTGCTAGTTTGTGGGTTCATTTTTCCCCACCCTTAATTCCCCCCCAGTATCTACTTCTAGCACTATATAAGAAAGGAAGAAAGATAGAGGAGAGGGAGAGAAAGAAGGAGGACCCTTGAATCTAATTTCTTTCCTTTTGTTTCTTCTTCAACCATAGCTACTAACAAACTACAACCAACCTCAGTAAATGACCAACAACTACCAACCCCACTTCTTGGGGTCCTAGCATTTATATCCCCTCTGAAAAGTTCTCAGAATTCTAAACACCATGCAACCACAGAAACTATCTGCAGCTAGCAAACAATACCTCTGCTAGAGCATGAGGCAGATCATAGTCAGCTGCTATGGACAGTCCAAAGCAGCTTCATATTCTCACACGTGGAATTAAAATGAAAGCACAGACTTATATTTGTGTTTTTTTTTAAATTCCAGAATTGTCACTACAGAAACACATTTGCTTGCTCAATTAATATTAAAAATGTTTGCTAGAAATATTTTTTTGGCCATCAATCGTATGTCAGACAGTGTACCTGTGTGAGTAGGCAAAACAAGCACCATGAACTCTTCTTTCATGGAGTTTACAACCTAGCAAGGAAGATCCAGTCTTCAAAGACTTATTCAGATATGAAACCACTCCATTGGTAGATGTCATGAGAAAAAATATAAAACTGAGAGGAATATGACACCAGTGAGCAATTAGTGCCTGGTGCCTGGAAATACACATCATGGAAGCCAGGGCCTGTGTCTCTGCACTACAAGTTTAATCTTGGCCCGTGGAGCCACTGTTCCCAGCTAGACCCCAGGCCGGGAAGAAGTTCCTGAGAACTTTAAGTTAAAGACTTCCATGCCCATAGTCATCTTTTGTTATTTACTAGGGGCCATTTGATTGTCCACTTTCAAAAGAGGCAAGCTTCTCTGTTTCTCACTATGTAGTCCTGGCTAGCATGGAACTTTCTGTGTAAACCAGATCTCCTTGAACACATGCAGATAAAGCTTCCACTGCTGGGATCAGACATGCATTTCCACACCCAGCCCCTTTGTCTTCTTCAATCCTACTTCTGTCTGTCTGAGCTTATTCATAATTATCTCTAGAGGGAAAAAAAAAAGAGGCCTGCCTGCCTTCTCTGAAAACAAAAATAATTATATAAAAAGCTAAGTCACCAAAGCCAAGCCATAAATTGTCGGGAATGTGAATTGGTTAGAAGTCATTAACACTTGATGTAAAGTTGTTCTCACTCATCTTCGACTTCTAAGGTGGATAAAGACAAAGGGCCTGATCAAGGAATGCAGCCACTTTTCAACTCTGCTTGTATTAGTTGTCAGCAATATTTCCACAGTCTCTTCCAGAGCTTTCTTAAACTATACTTGTCTCCCCTGGAATGAAACCTCACAACTACTGAGGAAAGAGGTGGTACTCCACTGTTACAACCTGGCAAACTCATGTCCATCACAACTAGCATCCCAAATAGGGGAGATGTCCTTGGCAAGAATATGTGCATGCATCTGTCACATATGCATGTGCATACTCAGAATTCAAAATCATGACTGAAAAGATTGTGGGGAAGGTCAGCCTCATCCCCCAGGTCATAGCAGACAACAAGCTTCTTCTGCTCCTGGAAAAGCTGAGGGAACCAAGGTGAGCTAATTCCCAACTATCAGGGGAGTAGTAAAGATAGAGGAGTTTGTCTCTGCATTAGCTGTAATTGAAACACTTTGAAGCATGAAGTTAGGCACGGTTTGTGCAAGTCATTGATAGATATGCAAGCTTGAGTACTAAGGGCAATAGCTATGATTGCAAGCATCAAAACACTCCCAATCAAACTCAAAAAGCTTTAACATCAGAGGTATGGCAACAGTTGTCTTTGATTTTTCTTTAAATATTATCCTTTGCATTGAAGAACTATAATATGTACAAGTACTAAAACTAAAGGATTTCTATCATTCAATAAGAAGCTTCTCAATTTATTCTTTTGAGTGATTTATGACAAATGCTGGATCTCAAAAGAATGTGATTCTGACAGTAAAGTATGTCATAGATTTCAGGGGGAGAGTCTCTAACCCCTACACAAAAGGAAACCCATGTTAAAGTATAAAGCTCTCATGTCAGATGCACTGGAGTGGGTCACTTGAATTTTTAAATAGTTCTAACCACAGGTTAAGCTTAACCCTGCCTAACCCTGACTAAAAGGACATGACTAAGATCTAAAATTGGAGTCTCTAGCACTCTGATCAGGAAGAGCCTATCAAGTTACTGTCTGAAATACAAACAATATTTTTTTAAGAGTTTATCAGTATCCAATAGTCCTAAATAAAGCTCCATAGAACCTACCAGACCAGAAAATTCTGATAAATAAGGCAAGAACATAAAGAAGAAGATGGGAAAAAGAGCCAGATAAAGTGCTTTACATATAAAAACTAAAGGATTTAATGGAGTTCAAAAGCAACCTTTTGTTTCCTGCCCCAGATTTTTCGGCTGCCCCCAACTTTGAAGACTCATTTGGGTCAGAGAACAGCTCCCAATCACAGGTTTGTCCTGTGACTGAATTCATGAGTCCTTCATAAGCCATCGTTTTCTCTGGGTGGGTTTTTTTTTCCTTTGACTAAACTCTAGCAAATGTTAAGGGAAAATTTTGTCTTACAAGCTAAATTTGAAAAGCAAATGTTTCTTCAACCTATACAGTAAAACACCAACTTTAATACGATACTAAGAGATTTCCTTCCAAGTAAAGATTTTGGAGTTTTCTTCTGAACATTCAATTCTATCAGAAAGCTGATAGGAAGCAGCTTAGACAACTCAGTTCTCTTAAAATGCCAGGCAATTATCCTTTCTTTTTTTCTCAAATAAATACAAAAATGCTCTTGTTTATCAGAAATACTTTTTTCCCCTTTCAGTTATTGTGTTTTTATTAACTCACACAATTACTCATGTCTTCTGTTTTGATGAACACACTTGCCACAGAATTGGCTGTTAACATGTCTGGCTGTGAAATCTTCAGTACC